GGCTACCCGGCGCCGGCCCGTGGCGCAGTGGCACGCGCTGCTGTCGGCGCAGCAGGTCAACGCCGCCCTCGCCCTCAAGAAGAAAATACCGCTCGCCAACAACTTGCCCTTCGCCAATAACTTGCCCTTCTGACCACTCCCGCGCGCACGGGAGGGATGGCGTTAGGGGCCCTCTGGAGTCTTGGACCGACCCTGACAGAGGTACAAACAAAACCGGCAACTTTCACAGGCACTCCAAGTGCTTCACGTTGACTTTTCATTTACCTCCTGGCGACATGGCATTGGAAGCAACTGGGGCGGGCTTCAGTATCTGGCACAAAGACACTCCGGCATGCTCACGCACATTTGACTCACTTTTTTTTCCTTGCGTCAACTTCCACATGAATAAAATAATTGCACTTTTAAGAATAATAATATCATCGACATTTGTGTTCATTTCTTTTGTAGCAATTCCCCCACCAATGGCTTGCATCAGTAGTATTATTAGAATGAAAATACAACAATAACAATAATAATACTTGTAATATTTTTAACATGCATTCATTATTTTATTTTAAAAAAATAATGTGCACCTTTTACATGTTTTTTTTTTTTTTGCCAATTGATAAATAAACCGCCCCATCTGTCCCTTTTGAACATCAAAATTGGACTCATGCGCACAAGTTTGCCCACTCCTGGTTTATCTTTGTATGTGTGTATGTATTCGTAGGTAAATATCTCGATGTACTCTTTCGAGTGGTCCGCTGTTGTTGCGTCCGTCCCCAGTGAGCCCTCGAAGCAATCAAGCTGAGCTGCTGAGTCCTCCTTCTGCTTTGTGCTGCTTCGAGTCTCCTGAGAGCGCCTCACACCAATCATCGACGTGCAGTGACACCGCTGGCCTACAGAGGGCGCCCAAGACACTGTGAACCCACGTCAACACTTTGATGGACAAATCGCACCAAAACGATCCACAGGCAAATCATCTTGTACACTCGACTCGTTTTTGCTCCGTTTCTTGGACCAAATCTGCAACACGACGAAATCCACCCATGAAAATTCCGGAAGTTATGGAAACCCTCCAAATTCATTATTTTGTACATGGAAAAATAACTTTAATACGTTGTCGCACAGTAAGCGTATTCAAATCGGGGAAAAGAATAAACTTGTGGGTCCATTGTGCTGGCTTTCTATTTGACAAAGGCTCTTGAGGAGGATGAGCGTTGACATCAGGTTACCAAGTTACCAGTGGTCCAATGACACAGAGCGCAGCATTAGGAAGAAAAAAAAAAACCCTGAGTGAGTGCGAGCGTTGCTGTGAGTCAGTCCGTGGATGTTCGGACGAGCTGCACACACACGCGCGCAGTGAGTTGTACTTGTAATTTTACTCAAATCCGTAGTCCATACTCTGTTTCCTTTGATCAACTCTTAATCTGCGTTGCCACTTTGGACATATCTTTCGTATATTTGTTTGACTTCAGTGGCAACGGAGCCGCAATCTTTCTCTAGCCTTGTTTTTGATTCCTCTATTTTTATGTTTAAAACAAGTATTCATGCATTAACTGGGAAAAATAATGCAATCATGTTACGGGAATCTATTCAACAAAGAAAAAGGCAAAAACTACGAGTCTCCGGGCGAGCTAACTAGCTTTTGGTCAGTCCAAATTTTGTTCTAATGCGCTCACTTCTGTATTGACAAATGCTTTCAAAACTGGAATCGTTCTTCAACACTCCTTCTGGTGAGACTATTCAACAACAAAAAAAAAAGAATTTTATCCATCCATCTAGTATCTGAGCCATTATCCTCACCAGGGCTCGCGGGCGTGCTGAAGCCCATCCCAGCCATCAGCAGGCGGGGGGACACCCTCAACTGGTTGCCAGCCAATCGCAGGGCGCACATACAGTAGACGAACAACCATTGGCGATCACAATTGCACCTTGGGACAATCTAGGGTCTTTGATTAACCGACTATGCATGTTTTGGGAATGTGGGAGGAAACCCACTCAGCACGGGGAGAACATGCCAACCCCACACAGGAAGGCCTGGAATCGAACCCCAATACCGGCAGTCTCCTCACCATCCTCGTGGGGGCAGTCATTCCCCCCAGTATTCACAAGAAGAAGGCAAAACAAGACGCGTTTCCGGGTTGGCTCGCGCTGCTCGGCTGGCGGAGCGGCTAGCTTGCTAGCTGGCTGGCTAGCTCCAGAGAAATAGCCGTTTAACGAGTCTAACAGGAGCTTGGCAAAGTTAAATCGCGTTTGTCTTGATCGGAGGTCAAATGCGGAATAAGCTTGGAAAGTCGTGAAGGAGTGACACATCGCCGGTTAGCACTGCTAACCGGCGGCGACTGAGCGATCCGGCCCC